CTCTGTTACACACTGTTGACAAGTACTGAGCTCTATTTTTACCTGTTGGCAAGTACTGGGCGCGCATTTACACACTGTTGACAAATTACTGGCTCTGTTACACTGTTGGCAAGTACTGGCTCTGTTACACACTGTTGGCAAATTACTGGCTGTTACCTGTTGACAAGTACTGGCTCCTGTTTACACACTGTTGACAAGTACTGGCTCTGCTAGACACTGTTGACAAGTGTACTGGCTCTACTACACTGAAATTTGGCAAGTACTGGCTCTGTTACACACTGTTGTAAAGTACTGGCTCTGCTACACACTGTTGGCAAGTACTGGCTCTCTGTTACACACTGTTGGCAAGTACTGGCTCTGTTACCACTGTTGGCAAGTACTGGCTCTGCTGAGCCCACTGTTGACAAATTACTGGCTCTGCTAGACACTGTTGGCAAGTACTGGCTCTGTTACACACTGTTGGCAAGTACTGGCTCTGCTACACACTGTTGGCAAGTACTGGCTCTGTTACACTGTTGGCAAGTACTGGCTCTGTTACACTGTTGACGTGAAGTACTGGCTCTATTCGCCTGTTGGCAAGTACTGGCTCTATTGTTACACACTGTTGGCAAGTACTGGCTCTCTATTTACCACTGTTGGCAAGTACTGGCTGTTACACACTGTTGGCAAGTACTGGCTCTGTTACACTGTTGGCAAGTACTGGCTCTGCTAGACACACTGTTGGCAAATTACTGGCTCTGTTACGCACTGTTGGCAAGTACTGGCTCTGTTACACACTGTTGTAGAGTACTGGCTCTGTTACCACACTGTTGGCAAGTACTGGCGCTGTTACACTGTTGACAAGTACTGGCTCTGTTACACACTGTTGACAAGTACTGGCTCTGTTACCTACTGTTTGGCAAGTACTGGCTCTGCTACACACTGTTGGCAAATTACTGAGCTCTGTTACACACACTGTTGACAAGTACTGGCTCTGCTGAACTTACTGTTGACAAGTACTGGCTCTGCTACACACACTGTTGGCAAGTGCTGGCTCTGTGTACACACTGTTGACAAATTACTGGCTCTGTTACACTGTTGGCTAAAATTACTGGGCTGGTACACCACTGTTGACAGAGTACTGGCTCTGTTACACACTGTTGGCAAGTACTGGCTCTGTTACTGTTGACGAAGTACTGGGCGCTGTTACACACTGTTGACAAGTACTGGCTCTGTTACCACTGTTGACAAGTACTGGCTCTGCTGAACACTGTTGACAAGTACTGGCTCTGCTACACACTGTTGGCAAGTACTGGCTCTGTTACACACTGTTGGCAAGTACTGGCTCTGCTACCACACTGTTGTGAGTACTGGCTCTGTTACACACTGTTGTAAGTACTGACTCTGTTACCTGTTGTGAAGTACTGACTCTGCTAGACACTGTTGACAAGTACTGGCTCTGCTAGACACTGTTAGCAGAGTACTGGCTCTGTTACACACTGTTGGCAAGTACTGGCTCTGTTACCTGTTGGCAAGTACTGGCTCTGCTAGACACTGTTAGCCAGTACTGGCTCTGTTACACACTGTTGACAAAGTACTGAGCTCTGTTACACACTGTTGACAAGTACTGGCTCTGTTACTACCTGTTGACAAGTACTGGCTCTGCTGAACACTGTTGACAAGTACTGGCTCTGCTACACTGTTGTGAAGTACTGGCTCTGTTACACACTGTTGGCAAATTACTGGCTCTACTACACACTGTTGGCAAATTACTGACTCTGTTACCACACTGTTGGCAAATTACTGGCTCTGTTAACACACTGTTGGCAAGTACTGGCTCTGCTAGACACTGTTGACTTCAAGTACTGGCTCTGCTAGACACTGTTGGCAAGTACTGGCTCTGTTACACACTGTTGGCAAGTACTGGCTCTGTACACACTGTTGGCAAGTACTGAGCTCACTGGAACATACTGTTGGCAAGTACTGGCTCTATTACACTGTTAACAAGTGGCTCATATTTACACACTGTTAGCAAGTACTAGCTCTATTACCACACTGTTGGCAAGTACTGGCTCTGTTACACACTGTTGGCAAGTACTGGGCGCTGATACCTGTTGACAAGTACTGTGGCTCTGTTACACACTGTTGACAAGTGCTGGCTCTGTTACCCACTGTTGGCAAGTACTGGCTCTGTTACACACTGTTGGCAAGTACTGGCTCTGTTACACACTGTTGGCAGAGTACTGGCTCTGCTTGCTACACACTGTTGGCAGTACTGGCTCTGCTAGACACTTACTGTTGGCAAGTACTGGCTCTGTTACACACTGTTGGCAAGTATTTTGGGTCTGTTACACACTGTTGGCAAGTACTGGCTCTGCTAGACACTGTTGGCAAATTACTGGCTCTGCTTGCTAGACACTGTTGGCAAGTACTGGCTCTGTTACACACTGTTGGCAAGTACTGGCTCTGTTACACACTGTTGACAGAGTACTGGCTCTGTTACACTGTTGGCAAGTACTGGCTCTGCTAGACACTGTTGACAAGTACTGGCTCTGTTACACACTGTTGGCAAGTACTGGCTCTTTACACACTGTTGACAAGTACTGGCTCTGTTACACACTGTTGCTTGAAGTACTGGCTCTGTTACACACTGTTGACAGAGTACTGGCTCTGCTGAACACTGTTGACAAGTACTGGCTCTGTTACACACTGTTGGCTTAGTACTGGCTCTGCTACTATTTGACAAGTACTGGCTCTGTTACACTGTTGGCAAGTACTGGCTCTATTACACACTGTTGACAAGTACTGGCTCTAGACACTGTTGACAAGTACTGTGGCTCTATTTTACTGTTGGCAAGTACTGGCTCTGCTACACTGTTGGCAAGTACTGGCTCACCAGTACACACTGTTGGCAAGTACTGGCGCTGTTACACACTGTTGGCAAGTACTGGCTCTGTTACCTGTTGGCAAGAGCCTGGCTCTGCTACACTGTTGACAAGTACTGGCTCTGCTAGACACTGTTGGCAAGTACTGGCTCTGCTAGACACTGTTGGCAAGTACTGGCTCTGTTACACTGTTGACAAGTACTGGCTCTATTTACACCTGTTGACAAGTACTGGCTCTGTTACACTGTTGACAAGTACTAGGCTCTGCTACACTGTTGGCAAGTACTGGCTCTGTTACAAGTACTGGCTGTTATTTACACACTGCTGGCAAAAAATGGGTCTGTTAATACTCAAGGGCAGTACATGTACTCTGTAAGCACTGGCTCTGGCTACACACTGTTGCGTACTGGGTCTGTTACACACTAAGGGCAGTACTGCATGTACCTGTAAGCACTGGCTCTGATACACACTGTTGGTAAGTACTGGGTCTGTTCTACTAAGGGCAGTAATGGGAATTTCCTGTAAGCACTGGCTAATACACACTGTTGGCAAGTACTGGGTTGTTCACAAGTACTGGGCATGCACCGGCTCCTGAATGTGCCTGAACTGCTCCAGTGTTTGTAAGTCTGTTCTTGAAACAGCTCACACTGGGTGCCGTACACTCTCTGGTGGTGTTGTAATAGTTCAGTTCACAACTCTCATTTGTAGCTTCTTCAACTTGCTGTGACAATGGGGGAGGTCATCCACCAGTTCCAGGTATGAACACTCAACTGAGTAATGACCTGGGGTGTCTATAGACCACCTTTAGTAATAGTTAGTAACTGCAGGCCTTCTTAAATAATAGTAGCAGGTAGCTGAGGTGCTGGAGTGCATGTGTTATCACCAACTGACATGTTCCTCTCTGTATAATGGTTCTGACGTTATACAGATGTTTGGTTGGTGTTATAACTCTGATTTAAAGGACAGATAACTGACTTTGGTTTAACAGGGGATTTTTTCCATTGTTGCTCAATTTAGTGAACTAGTTAGCTAAATTGAATACGTTAATACATTCACACCTACGGAGGAACCTCAGGCGCATGATGTGTACGGAGACACCTCAGACACATGATGTGTACAGAGACACTCAGACACATGATGTGTATGGAGACACCTCAGACACATGATGTGTACAGAGACACCTCAGACACATGATGTGTACGGAGACACCTCAGACACATGATGTGTACAGAGACACCCTCAGACACATGATGTGTACAGAGACACCTCCAGACACATGGTGTGTGCGTGAGACACCTCAGACACATGATGTGTACAGAGACACCTCAGACACATGATGTGTACAGAGACACCTCAGACACATGATGTGTGGAGGAACCTCAGACACATGATGTGTAATGCGGGACACCTCAGACACATGATGTGTGCGGAGACACTTTAGACACATGGTGTGTGCGGAGACCTCGGACACATGATGTGGACGGAGATACTCGGACACATGGTGTGTGCTGAGGACATCGACACATGGTGTGAAAAGAGACACCTGTGACACATGATGTGTAGGACAGGTTGTCTGATGTGTAGGGCGCCTTGGCACATGATGTGTGGAGACACCTCAGATGATGTGCCGGGGAGACCTCAGACACATGATGTGTACAGAGACACTTCAGACACATGATGTGCTAAGAGACACCCCAGACACATGATGTGTGTACAGAGACACCTCAGACACATGATGCAAGGAAATTTCAGACACACATGATGTGTGCACGGAGACACTCTGCAGACACACATGATGTGTACGGAGACACCTCAGGTACATGATGTGCACAGAGATACCCCTGTGACACATGATGTGTGCCAGAGACACTTAGACACATGATGTGTACAGAGACACTAGACACATGATGTGTACAGAGACACTCTCAGACACATGATGTAATGAGACACCCAGACACATGATGTGTATGAGACACTCAGACACATGATGTGTACAGATATACCAGACACATGAGATGTGTACAGACACCCTCAGACACATGATGTGTACAGAGACACCCCAGACACATGATGTACGGAGACACCTCAGACACATGATGTGTACGAAGACACCTCAGACACATGATGTGTACGGAGACACCTCAGACACATGATGTGTACGGAGACACCTCAGACACATGATGTGTACATGCAAACATTATTCAAGGCTTACCTTAAACTATGGGGTTCGGTGTTTGTTTGAATTTGTTCTATAATTTGCCAACTTTGTTCCAATTGCTAGCTGCCATCTGTTAACTTTATCCCACACACCACTTCCTTTCTGAGACTTATGGCATGATGTCTAAGTACAGTTGACCAAGAGGGAGCAACACACACGGTGGTGCCAGGACACAGACTGAGTGGATGTACACAAACCCCATACACCGAGTGGCATGTTTGGCGCGGAATTGAACAGAATCTCGCTTGATTTAGTGAACTAATTCGCTAAATTGAGCAAAAATAAAGAAAAGTTCGATTTACCTGAAATTTTGATTTAATGGAAAGGGGCGGCTTGAATTAAATGGTTAAATAAAAATATTCTGTATATAATAACTATGATATCGTGTACTAGCCTAACTTAAACTAACTAACTTAACACAGCAATATGGAAGACTTCTAATCTTAGATCTTTAGAAGAATATTGAAGAGTGTCATGTGCAGTACAGTGTAAGGTATTACATATCTTCTGTTTGATGACCGGCCACACACAGAGGTCATCACTACTGGTCGGTCATCACAGGAGCTGTCTAGCCACACACAGAGGTCATCACTACTGGTCAGTCATCACAGGAGCTGTCTAGCCACACACAGAGGTCATCACTCCTGGTCAGTCATCACAGGAGCTGTCTAGCCACACACAGAGGTCATCACTACTGGTCAGTCATCACAGCGGCTGTGTCTAGCCACGCCCTGAGGTCATCACTACTGGTCAGTCATCACAGCAGCTGTGTCTAGCCACGCCCTGAGGTCATCAAGCTTGCGGGTTATATTAAGGTCATCCTTGTGACTCTCAGACTTCAACATTCCTCCGTTAAGGACAAGAGACGTGCGCGGCCCAGGAGACGGGGTGTTAATGCTCTTCATAAAGGCAGGTGAGGTCTTCTCATTCACTAACAAGGTAGACTCACCGATAACTTGTGCTGGCCAGCCTGCCCGACCACCCAGAGGGACTGATAACTCTGAAACAAGTAGAAATAATAAGATAAATCAAACATATTGGTGTGTGTGTGTGTTTGGGGGAGGGGGGGAACACACACTTGCACATGATGGATAATTACAAAACTTTCAAGATAATTAACACTGTATCATACTGAATAAGATTTTTTGGTAAAGTTTCATACAGTACAATCATACATACAGTATACATAACCATTTACAGAGGAAAACAAGTTAAGTAAGATTATTGTTTATTTATAATGACCAGGACGAAAATGTAACTGGGAAACAACTTACCTCCGAAGTAATTAGTCCATCTTTGCTGTAAGTACTGGTTAACACCAGCTATCCTATCAATGGTGTGAGGACCCAGGTCAGGGACAGAGCCAGTGTTGAAATGGTCAAGTCTGAGAGAAGCTCTGGGTAACACTCTCTTATATCCTGCAAATAATAAGTAACTTTACAGTATTAATGGCACTAAACACAGTACAGTACAGTACAGTGGAGTACAGTACAGTACAGTACAGTACAGTACAGTACAATACAGTACAGTATAGTACAGTACTGTACAATATAGTACAATACAGTATAATACAATACAGCACAGTACAGTACTGTACAATACAATACAGTACAGTACTGTACAATACAGTACAGTACAATACAGTATAATACAATACAATACAATACAGTACAATACAGTATAATACAATACAATACAGTACAGTACAGTATAATATAATACAGCACAGTACAGTACAATACAGTACAATACAGTACAGTACAGTACAGTATAATATAATACAGCACAGTACAGTACAATACAGTACAATACAGTACAGTACAGTATAATATAATACAATACAGTAAAGAGTGAATTATGTAACCATGACAAAGTTAATAACAATATAAGTCATTCAACATTGTCTTGAACTAACAGACATTTGTACTGACCTGAAGAGAGAGTGTTTGATGGCATGTTATTTAACCCTCGCTCTAAGCTGGTGGTCGCCTGAGCCTGGTGTTGTCTTCCCCGCCAGAGTAATACTGAACACTCACCGCTGACTTCTTGTCGCAGCTCATCTTTGCTGTTTGGAAATTAATTGTCAGTTAATGTACACACACACACACACACACACACACACACACACACACGCTACTATTACTTTGCTGTTACTGGTATAAATCATCATACTCAAGGGGTTAAATCATCATACTCAAGGGGTTAAATCATCATACTCAAGGGGTTAAATCATCATACTCAAGGGGTTAAATCATCATACTCAAGGGTTAAATCTTCATACTCAAGGGTTAAATCATCATACTCAAGGGTTAAATCATCATACTCAAGAGTTAAATCATCATACTCAAGGAGTTAAGTGATATTACTGAAGGGGATAACTCAGTACTCAAGGGGTTAAATCATTGTACTCAAGAGTTTAATCTGTCATACTCAAGGGTTTAAATCATCATACTCAGGGGTTAAATCATCATACTCAAAGGGTTAAATCATCATACTCAAGGGGTTAAATCATCATACTCAAGGGGTTAAATCATCATACTCAAGGGGTTAAATCATCATACTCAAGGGGTTAAATCATCATACTCAAGGGGTTAAATTGTAATACTCAAGGGGTTAACATCATGCTCAAGGGGTCAACATCATACTCAAGGGGTTAAATCATCATACTCAAGGGGTTAAATTATCATACTCAAGGGGTCAACATCATACTCAAGGGGTTAAAGATGATGTTATGCATTAAACAGGTGTACTCATTAGCTCATTGACTACCTGAGGTCATATTCACTATCTTCACTGACCTAACATTTGATCAAGGCCGAAGGTGGAGTCCAGGGAGGGTGCGTTATGAGTGTGTTCGTCAGATTCTGTGTCAGATGTTAGGGACCCGCTGTGATCCGGGTGAAGGCGCCGCAAAGGTACCTGACCAAGGCAACAACATTGGTTATTATACTGTTATCTTTACCCTAAATTAACTTAACACACTCAGTTGTTCCCTCACACAGCTGTAACATACACCACTTAACACACTCAGTTGTTCCCTCACACAGCTGTAACATACACCACTTAACACACTCAGTTGTTCCCTCACACAGCTGTAACATACACCACTTAACACACTAAGTTGTTCCCTCACACAGCTGTAACATACACCACTTAACACACTCTACTGTACCCTCACACAGCTGTAACATACACCACTTAACACACTCTACTGTACCCTCACACCTCCAGTAGTATATTTACTATCATACAGATCAATACAGTGAGAATAATACACCAACACCTAGTGATCTGATAGCTGGTGTAAGTGATAACAATAATAATAACATAAAATATATATATATATTAATTTGACATTACTGAATACTGTACCTTGGGTCTTGGAGTTGCCTCGAAGTCAGTGTTCTGTCGTAGTATTTCCCTACGCATGTCCTCAGCTGTTGCCTTCAATACTTTGCGTGGATTTTTCAAACGATTTGATTTGAGGAATTTTTCTGTTTTCCTCAGAACTCTTCGACCATGTAGCAGAAGGTCATCCTCCAACCACGCCTCCCTGGGTGTGCTGGTGAGATTATTATGAGGTGAGTGGCTATCGAGGGCAGTTAATGATATACGTTTACTGTTATTATATTCTGGTAAATTATTATATTTTGCTAAAACTTGAGAAGCAAGTTTCATTTCTTCGTCGTCACTGGCTTCACTTCTGATATTTGGAGGACTAGACGTGGCACTCGAGGTTATGTCATTTGATGGCTGGCAGCTGTCCGTCACATTGGCGTTACTTTCTGTACTACTTCTATCACTCGACAATGATGGAGCGTTCTGTACGACAGTTTCAGGAGTTGTTGGTAATTTTCTCGATAACTTTTTGGCTTTTTCCGATTTGATGCGGCTGACAAGATTAGTGTATTTGTGTTTAATTTTATTGTATTTTGACTCGTGGACACAAACACTCCCGCTGCAGCAATGTGAACCACTTGACGCCAACTTCTGATTATTCAATTCTATTATTTTATTTTCCTCTGCCTTCAGTTCATCGAGTTCTCTCTCCAGGATTCTCCGTCTTTCTCTTTTCTCTCTCAAAATCTGGTGGTTTTTTCTCTCTTCTTCACTTATTCTCCTGTTATCGCTTCTTACGCTTTCATCGCGGTTCGTCCCGTTCTCTCGTACATCATCACATCTCCCTTCCGTTTTTCCCGATTCTCTCCCTTCCCTTTCCTCCTCATTATCATCGACTTCGTGTTCTAGGCTGTTCATTCGCTCTTCGTATTCAATTTTAAATTCCGTAAGTTTGTTCTCAAGTTCAGTCTTTTGAAGTGTTAGTTCAGCCTTAAAGTCAGACTTGAGTTTGGTCAGATCAAGCTCATGTTGGTCTTCTACCTCCTTCCTCATGAGTTTACATAACTCTTGCACATGTTGGAGCTCTTGTTCGTGTTGTTGTTTCATCTTAGCGAGCCTCACACTGTGGTTCTTCTTCTCCAATGTTTCCTGTATAGAATATTTATACAACTGTAACATGTATAGTATCAGAGCCTATGTCTTTTATATTAATACCAAGATGTCTCAGAATAAAATGTATACACAATGCTGCACTGATTTTTTTTTCTGTAGTCCTTGTGAACATTTGCCTAACAATGACAGCAGTATTGTCTACACTTGCTGATATGTAAAGTCTCCCACAAGTAGAAACAATGTTGTTGTAATAAATTCAAATGGTCTTTGAGACACACGTATACAATTCAGTAAGGTAATATCTTTAATTAATGAGTAAAGCAAAGACCCTAAGTTAACTACTGTACATCAATAATTGAGGAGCTCTGGACCATAATCTGCTAAGTGCTGAAATAGAAAATGGAGGAAAATGCTCAGGTAGGAATGTGTGACATACAATAGTGTTTTCAGAGGACAGTCACCCACCTGTACAGGTTCCCAATTGGTTCTCTGACTTACCCAGGGGACAGAGGAGAGGTTGAGGAATACAGTGCAATACATGACACGTTTCAGCGATATATGGCTCTTAGCGGGTTATGGAAGTCAGGGAATGAAGGCAGTAAGGAGAGATAAAGAAGGAACGCCTCACCTTCTCCTCGGCGCGCCTCGCTGCCATCTCAAGTTCCTCATCTAACTTGGCCTCGAGGATGTTGAGTTGTTTGGTGTGTTGACTTTTAATATCAAGTTCCTTCACTCTCAACACTTCTGCTAAACTGTGTTCCAACTCTGATGTTGCAGCAGATACATCATTCCTTCTGTTAAATATAGTTTACATTATAACAAATATTACCTGTGTTAACTATGTACTGTACTGTACATCACCTACAATAATACAACAAGATACAATACAGCAACACCTACAATAATACAACAGGATACAATACTGCAACACCTACAATAATACAACAAGATACAATACTGCAACACCTACAATAATACAAGATACAATACTGCAACACCTACAATAATACAACAGGATACAATACTGCAACACCTACAATAATACAACAAGATACAATACTGCAACACCTACAATAATACAACAAGATACAATACTGCAACACCTACAATAATACAACAAGAACACCTACAATAATACAACAAGATACAATACTGCAACACCTACAATAATACAACAAGATACAATACTGCAACACCTACAATAATACAACAAGATACAATACTGCAACACCTACAATAATACAACAAGATACAATACCTGGAAAGAAGTGTTGATCTTGTTGTATTTATCTTGTCCTCAGTAGTTCTCTGTTCCTGGTCATACAGCTGTCGTAGTTCTTCCTCTAATTCTTTCATCTCCTGAAGTAAACAGTACAATTAGTTCAGTACATTGATTATCTTATAACTTTTGGGTTTTTTAAGAGTAATCGCTTACCCTGGCACAGGTCATCAACGCGCAGGGCCAAGTGGGGCCTGGGGGGTGAAGGGAATAAGAGTAAAAAGAAATTAAAAATAGAAAAGAAAAAGGTTATACAGTGGTCCCTCGGTTAATGAACGCCTCGGTTAACGAATTACCTTCCATAAGAATATTCAATTCGGTTAACAAAATTCTTACAAAAATGTTTTGACATGCTTTGGCTTGCTCACCAGCTGGAAGATTAGTTCGCCAGTACAGAAATCAGTTCTAGGGCTTACATTCGTTAAAATTGGAGTAATTATCAAGAAGGTTGTACTATTCAATAATTTTCCAAGTTTTATATTAAATTTTTTAGTCATTTTAACACTTATTTAACATAATTGCAGTACAGGGAACTAGTTTTTGGTGCACCCATCAGCCACTTCACTCACCCACCAAGGCCTCAGTTTGAATCTCTGTTCAGCGGAGGAAACATCTTGCTTGTGGGTCTCTTGAACACAAGAGTATTTTTACGTTTTTACAGTACAATTATTAGTCATTCTGAAATTTATTTAACATACAGTATTGACAGTATATAGTGCAGTGAAGTGTTGATTTAAAGAAAATTTACTTTGTATGTAATTTTCGGTGAGCTGGAACCAATTACCCAAAATCCCATTGAAACAATGGTTTCGGTTAACAAAATTTTCGGTTAACTTTTACTTTTATCCTCTTCGCCACTGATCGGCTCGTTAGCCGCTTGGGCGATCGGTCACGTCTCGGATTACTTTTCATTTTCATTTATCTTTTTTACCAAAAGATCGTCTCGCTAGCCACCCGGGCGATCGGTCACGTCTCTGTCACGCACTGTTGGCAAGTACTGGGCATGTACTGGCTCTGTTACACACTGTTGGCAAGTACTGGGCATGTACTGGCTCTGTTACACACTGTTGGCAAATACCGGGCATGCACCGGCTCCTGAATGTACTTGAACCCGCTCCAGTGTTGGTCAAGTCTTGTCTTGAAAGAGCTCGCACTCGGTGCCGTCACAACACTCTCTGGTAGATTGCTCCAAGAGTTTACAACCCTCACTCCGAAAAAGTTTGCCCTAACAGTTTTCTGGACTTGTGGCTTCTTCATTCTTGAGCTGTGACCCCTTGTGGGGCGAGCGTCCGCCAGCTCCAAGTAAGGACACTCAACTGAGTAGTGCCCTCTGAGATGCTTATACACCTCAACTAGGTCCCCCCTTGCCCGTCTGAAGTATAAGCTAGGCAAGTTCAGGCTCTCCAAACTCTCAGGGTAGCTGAGGTGCCGAAGTGCAAGCACCAGTCTGGTGGCCCTCCTTTGATTATTTTCAACCAACTGACAGTCCCTAACATATCTCGGGGACCAGATGGGGTGACAGTACTCCAGATGGGGAAGCACTTCACTCCTGAAGATCGTTACGAGGGACGGACCGTCTAGATATCTGAACGACCTTCTTATAAGACCCAATAATTCATTTGCTTGATTTACCTTCTTCTCGCAATGGCCCGAGAACTTCAGCTCATTGTCAACATACACACCGAGGTCCTTCTCACATACAGTCGCAACTAGTGCAGTTTCTTCATCCTGTTGGGACATATGATACGCCTCCTTACCATTGGTACGCCCCAGGTGCATCCTCTTACACTTCGTGACATTGAATCTCAGCAGCCATTCCTTCGACCATTCCTGGAGCCCACAGAGGTCCTTCTGCAGCTCTTCACAGTCAGCTTGGTTCTTAATTTCCCGGAATAACTTAGCGTCATCGGCAAACATTTGTATGGAGGAGTGTACAACGTCAGGCATGTCATTTATGAAACAAACAAACAACAGCGGGCCCAATACACTGCCCTGTGGTACCCCACTTGTGACAGGTACAGATGATGATTTCGTTCCATTAATCACCACACACTGCTTGTGGTCATGTAGAAAGTCTTCTATCCACGCTAGGACATTTCTCCGAATTCCGTACCCTTCCAGTTTGATTTTCAGCCTTTCATGGGGTAGGCTGTCGAAAGCCTTGGCAAAATCTAGGTAAATATTGTCGATATTACCACCCAGTTCCAGAATATGGGTCCAAATATCCAATACCTCGAGCAATTGTGTTAAGCAGGAGCGCCCCGGCATAAAACCGTGTTGGCAATCCTTTACAAGATTGTTTCGCATTAGATGTTCCATTGCGGCATCTCTGATAATACTCTAAAGTACTTTACATATTATGCTGGTCAGGCTCACCGGTCTATAGTTGTTCGTGGAGTGCCGATCGCCCTTGCAATCGCCTCATTCACCTTGACTATGCAGCCAGGGCAATACTAGCAACAGCCATTATGCTTTACGGCAGTTCGTAACTTCCTAAACGTTGCATTAGTTAGGCCTATATCCTCCATATCCGACGTCTCCCTTCAGTAGTCACACATCATACTCATGGTTGTTGTTGTTGTGGGGGGGGGGGTGCAGACTGTGTAGATTACACCTATTTAAAAAATTAAAGAGAGAAAAAGTACTTAGCTACTCTCTGTTGCCTATAGAGTTGTCGTCTGCGACTGCGTACACTGTATCTCCCTGTGAATGGTTTATTGTAGGCACAGTTTCAGTCCTTGAGAAAGCACACAATCAAAATAAAATTTAAAGTCTCTGTGGCACCTATAACTCGACTTGGTTTCAGCTGACACGGTGCCTTTCCAGCTTGCTTGCTAGTTAGCGCTCATTTTAAGTTCCGAACGACCTTCTGGAACGAATTGTGTTCGTTAACCAAGGGACCACTGTATTAATCTACACTACGAAGATGCCGGAAAACCAGCTTTTTAAAGTGAGACAGATTGTATGAGTATGGAAACACAGAAGAAGGCAGAGCATTCCACAGTTTGGCTGTGTAAGGAATGAAGGATGTACTATAACGGGTTATTATAGTGTGACCGACATCCACAGAGAAACGGTGGGCACCGCGGGAAAGACGAGTGTTACGATCCCATAGCCTTGCCGACAGTACACAGGATGCCAAATCCACGGAATATTGCCCGTTAAAGTACCTGTAAAAGAGAGAGATAACAAGCAACATTGTGGTGAAGAGAAAGGGAAGAGAGATTGTCAACTAAAGGAGGAGAGTTAATAAGACGAAATACCTTTGATTCCACCCTATCTAACAGTTGAAGAGCCACCCCAGATATGAGAGCAGTACTCCAAGTTAAGACGAATGAATCCCTTATATACTTGAAGCAACTGCTCAGGAGTGAAGTAACTGCGGCATCTGTACAGCATTCCCAACTTTTGGGAGGCAGCTTTAGCTATGTTGAGGATGTGTGGCTTCCATGATATATTAGAGGAAATGGTGAGGCCTAGCATATCTATTTTAGAATTTGGCAGAATGATTACGTCCTGAAAAGTGACTGGTGGGAGATCATCTAATTTAGGTTAGGTTAAAGTTAGGTTTGGTTAGGTAAATATTTGGTTAGGATAGGTTAGTTTAGCATTAGGTTAGGTTAGGTTAGTTTAGCATTAGGTTAGGTGTATTATGAACACGTCATTAAAGAACAACTGACCTCCTCATGATCTTTTTGTAATGTGTTCTTAACTTGCTGTAGATCTTGAACAAATAGCAATTTCATCTCCTCAAACTGTTCATTGTTCTTCTCCTCAAGTTCTTTCGTCAGTTTGTTCTTCTTCTCTGTGTTCTCCTTCAGTAAACTGTTCCTCAAGACCTCAATGTTCTTCTTGTTCTCTTCTTCAAGTTGTAACTGAATCCGTCTCTTGTTCTCAACCATTTTCTTTTTTTCTTCTTCATGAAATTTTTGAATAAAATTTTTGTGTTCAGTCCTGTGAAAATACAAAGTTAATGAACAATTTTATACAGTAAGTACAATTTAATTTTATAGTTGTACAGTACTGGGGAGCGTTAACAATACTAACTTGATCTTTTCCTGCGTGGCCTGAGACTCCTTACTAAGCTTCCCTCGGAGGGCTGCCACCTCCACTGCTAACACGTCTAGCATCTTCTTCTCTTCAACCTCTAATACCTTGGCTACAGTCTGAGGGAGGAGGGAAGGTGTGAGGTACAGTAATATAGTGTTACAGTCTGAGGGAGGGAGGGAAGGTGTGAGGTACAGTAATATATTGTTACAGTCTGAGGGAGGGAGGGAAGGTGTGAGGTACAGTAATATGTTGTTACAGTCTGAGGGAGGAGGAAGGTGTGAGGTACAGTAATATATTGTTATAGTCTACAGTAATATATTGTTACAGTCTGAGGGAGGAGGGAAGGTGTGAGGTACAGTAATATATTAGTCTGAGGGAGGAGGAAGGTGTGAGCAGTAATATATTGTTACAGTCTGAGGGGAGGAGGGAAGGTGTGAGGTACAGTAATATATTGTTATAGTCTGAGGGAGGAGGGAAGGTGTGAGGTACAGTAATATATTGTTACAGTCTGAGGGAGGAGGGAAGGTGTGAGGTACAGTAATATATTGTTATAGTCTGAGGGAGGAGGGAAGGTGTGAGGTACAGTAATATATTGTTACAGTCTGAGGGAGGAGGGAAGGTGTGAGGTACAGTAATATATTGTTACAGTCTGAGGGAGGAGGGAAGGTGTGAGGTACAGTAATATATTGTTATAGTCTGAGGGAGGAGGGAAGGTGTGAGGTACAGTAATATATTGTTACAGTCTGAGGGAGGAGGGAAGGTGTGAGGTACAGTAATATATTGTTACAGTCTGAGGGAGGAGGGAAGGTGTGAGGTACAGTAATATATTGTTATAGTCTGAGGGGAGGGAGGGAAGGTGTGAGGTACAGTAATATATTGTTACAGTCTGAGGGAGGAGGGAAGGTGTGAGGTACAGTAATATATTGTTACAGTCTGAGGGAGGGAGGGAAGGTGTGAGGTACAGTAATATATTGTTACAGTCTGAGGGAGGAGGGAAGGTGTGAGGTACAGTAATATATTGTTACAAGTCTGAGGGAGGGAAGGTGTGAGGTACAGTAATATATTGTTAGGGAGGAGGGAAGGTGTGAGGTACAGTAATATATTGTTACAGTCTGAGGGAGGGAAGGTGTGAGGTACAGTAATATATTGTTACAATCTGAGGGAGGGAAGGTGTGAGGTACAGTAATATATTGTTATAGTCTGAGGGAGGAGGGAAGGTGTGAGGTACAGTAATATATTGTTATAGTCTGAGGGAGGAGGGAAGGTGTGAGGTACAGTAATATATTGTTACAGTCTGAGGGAGGGAAGGTGTGAGGTACAGTAATATATTGTTACAAAAGGTAGATCTGAACACAAGTTACAAGAAGATAAATTAAATTACAGTTTAATATTTATTTATTGGATAAGGTAGAATATACTTTAACTCTTACTGATATTAAAACTAAGAGGAAACTGAAGGTTGGCACTGTACAGGTAGGATTAACACTGTACTAGTAGGATTAGCACTGTACAGGTAGGATTAGCACTGTACAGGTAGGATTAACACTTTACTGGCAGGATTAGCACTGTACTAGTAGGATTAGCACTGTACAGGTAGGATTAGCACTGTACAGGTAGGATTAGCACTGTACAGGTAGGATTAGCACTGTACTGGTAGGATTAGCACTGTACAGGTAGGATTAGCACTGTACAGGTAGGATTAGCACTGTACAGGTAGGATTAGCACTGTACAGGTAGGATTAGCACTGTACAGGTAGGATTAGCACTGTACAGGTAGGATTAGCACTGTAGAGGTAGGATTAGCACTGTAGAGGTAGGATTAACACTTTACTGGCAGGATTAGCACTGTACAGGTAGGATTAGCACTGTACAGGTAGGATTAGCACTGTACAGGTAGGATTAGCACTGTACAGGTAGGATTAGCACTGTATAGGTAGGATTAGCACTGTACAGGTAGGGTGTTAGCAGTGACTCACCATGGTATTGTCTTGATGCACTCTTGACTCTTGATGTGAACAATTTCCATCATTTACACTATATTCTTCCTGTCAATTGTTGAGTCATTTTAGTAACTGTCAATACATTATAAGTGTCCTCATTATAAGTGGTCAAATAATTGTGGACCTTCTTGTAAAAAGTGCCCACAGTTAAGAGGATCCTAAGGTTTAAATCCTTCAATCTTTGGGAGTACAAGTGTTTGATATTCCCACCCACCTCACATGTCATCCTTCTCACCCACACTATGTATGCTCAGAACCTGTGTCCACACACGTTATTTTGAAGTGCTCCAACAACTATAATTATCAACTTGTTGTGTCTTTGGTGACGTTGGTGGACTACTTTTTGTAACCATCAGCTCCAAACCAAAGCAAGGTGGTGTAGTGGCTTAAAGGAAGTGCAGTAGCTGTGGGATGGACGTGTTGTGAGAAAAGTGATGAGCATGAGTCAATGAACCACTGTCACTAGAATGAGTGTGTGAGTGTGTGGTTAGGTAACCTGCGTCACATCAACACACCGACCCCAAGCAACTTTAATTACCTTAAATAAGTTGTAAAGCTAAATAATATCATAAAATAATGTGTAATTAAAAGTTTAACCAATGTTTCTTAGGTGTATATATCAATGTTAGAAGATACCAGTGGCTTTTTTCTGGTCCCTATTAGCCACTTATAATGAGGACCTCCTGAATTAGTTTATATCCATAAGCTTTAGTTCAAACAAAGATTATTATTACCATACAGTAAGGTAAAGTAGACTCACTTCACTTTCTGCATCATTCACCAAGAGCTTTGTCAAGTTAACTGTGACATTCTTCACCATCCCTGAAGGCGCCGATGCCTCGGGTCTTCCTCTGTCAGTACTGCCTGAAGGTGCCGATGCCTCGGGTCTTCCTCTGTCAGTACTGCCTGAAGGTGCTGATGCCTCGGGTCTTCCTCTGTCAGTACTGCCTGAAGGTGCTGACACCTCGGGTCTTCCTCTGTCAGTACTGCCTGAAGGTGCTGATGCCTCGGGTCTTCTTCTGTCAGTACTGCCTGAAGGTGCTGATGCCTCGGGTCTTCCTCTGTCAGTACTGCCTGAAGGTGCTGATGCCTTGGGTCTTCCTCTGTCAGTACTGCCTGAAGGTGTTGATGCCTCGGGTCTTCCTCTGTCAGTACTGACAGTGTCATGACTATCATCTCTGTTGTCGTTTCTTCCGCTAAGTTTAGCAACAACACGATCCATTGGGTTAGTCTTTCTGTTCCTGGCTCCTCCTTCCAGCTCCAGTTTGCGCTGCTCGTGTGGTCGAGCTTCCTGTCTCTGAGACTCTTCAGTTTTCGTTGGCAGGGTTGAAGAAGGTTTACCTCCCTCAACAACCTTATCTATCTTGGTCTCTTTTGTGGCTGCTGTGGACGGAGTTGAGCTGGTGTGAGGAGTTGCCAGTTTGAGATTTCCTGTTTGAGATTCCTGAGTATTTGGCTTAATGCCTCCAGACACCTGAGTCGCAGCTGACTTAGGTCTGCTCTGAGGAACTTGAGCGGCATGTAGCGTCGTCCCCTTACTGGCATCTTGTTGCTTTACTGCTGCACCTCCTTTAGTCTCCTCTTTCTGCTTCCTAAAGTCTTTGAGAGGATCACGACTATCCTGAACTACTCTGGCAGAAGATTTGACTGTGTTCGCACCGACCCAGGGGTCAGGGCCGTGAGGCAGAGGGTTGAGTTTATGTGAGGGAGGCTGAGAGGTGAGTTGCAGTAGGTCAGCGGCATCATTCAGCATGAAGCCACACTCTTCACTGTCATCATCAATAACACCCCGGGCTCTCAGGATGGCCTCTTCTTCCTGCAGTTAATTAAGTCAATTAACATTAAATACATTACTAATATAAACAAAATATTAATGTATCAGAATCTATGAAAACACACACACACACACACGCACGGATGCACGGACGCGCACACACACACACACACACACACACACAAATATAAATATATATATATATATAAACAGTATTTTCTTTCTGTTTGTAAAAGCTATCAATACTTATTAATGTGTGGGGAGTAAGGAGGGCAGTCCATGTAGTAGCATGGAGTGTATCTGTTGTGTGTGGTGAGAGTGTTGGACACAGGGAGACCTTACATGTGTACAGTACCTCATCTATACTGAACACAACCTACACCACTGACAGTGCCACTTAACGTATTCAAATGATTCACAGTTCAAGAGAGCGAGTCACAACAACTCGTATCCTCCTCGTGCACTTAAGTTGACCGATCGACATCTTCCATGAGCTCACAGACCGCTTACAATCTAGGAAGCCTATGGCCAACGAGAATTGTGCGCCGACCCGTATAAACGCTCACGACGGGAGACTCGCCTCCCCACCTCAGTGTTGACACATTACTTGGTTTACTCAGGACCTTATTTACTGCCCAATATCTTGACGTCTTTTTCTCTTTCATACATCAGGTGAGGTAACATGAGCCACTGCTCTAGGGTATTGTCTCACCTGGACTAGCAGTAAACACTCCTTCCAGTGCACCTCTGAGTGAGGTGACTCCCCAGTTTTTCATATATTATTTATATTGTTTGTATAACCTCAACTCAGAACTGGTTTAATGCTCTATGTTTTTAAGCTTCATGTTAACAGTTTCTGCTGAATTTATTGTTTTTTGTTATAGACTTAAGTGTAAATAATTATAGTCATTGTATTGTAGTGGACGTCTCCCCTACAAACTAACTGCGTAGCAGCCCACCACCTGCTATCACATTCCAATGTGCCGCCTTCCCTAGCAACCAACCAGATGTTACCGTATCTTAGCAACGAAACTATTCACCGGCTACTTCTCGGGTTTTCCCACCATGACTCATAGCGGCTGCTGCGGAGTATATAAGCTCTGTCTCTCCCTTGAGATTCAGTCTGACCAATCTTCTTGAACAAGCAACACCTCCTCCTCTGCCGCTGCCTGGCGACCCTCGCCTCTCCTCCGCCTGCCTGGCGGTCCTCGCTCCCGCCAGCGAGCATGTCCTTCTCTGAGCTTCCTCACCAACCAACTCTCATTCTGCCCATTTTCCTGAACAAGCAACATCTCCTCCAGCAAGCTCCACGCTGTTAACATTTCATTCAACCAGGAGGCCAGCAACAGGCAACATCTTCTCTAACGAAGCTCCTGCACATCTACCTCCTTCAACAAGCTACTCACCGCACGTCTCTACCAAGCAGCCCCTCACCACACAGCACCTCCAGCACCAGACTGTCTATCATATAACTTATATATTATACAAGAAAACTACATTAGAGTTTCCTTCCATCCTGAGTGCTAGACCACATTAATATCTCGATACCCCTACTATACTTACTCATTTACCTCACCACATTAACCCTTGAGGAAAGTAATAATATTTGAGACGTTACTTGACCATCTCTTGGTCATTACACTCTTGGCCTCATACAATAAACACCATATAATCTTGGGTTCTTTGCTCATTGACAACTTTCATATCTAACACTAACCTAAAGTTACCTAACATAACCCAACCTAACCTAACGTAACCTAACCTAAAATAATCCAACCTAACCTAACATAACATAACGTACCCTAACGTAACTTAACCTAAAATAACCCAACCCAACCTAACGTAACATAACATAACCTAACCTAATGTAACCTAACCTAACCAAACGTAACGTCACCTTGTACCCCGAGAAGACATGCACAGTGAAAAAAGTGAGACTATTTCAGGTTTATATACGTACTGGGTCATCTGCCTCACTGTCAAATTCTTCCTCTTCTTCATATTCATATTCATCTTCTCCTTCTTCCTCTTCCTCCTCCTCCTCTTCCTCCTCAAACTCCTCTTCCTCATCAAATTCTTCCTCGGATGAATGGAACTCCAGTTCATCAGTCTTGAAGTCAAAGCGGATATTCTTCGTTTCTCTAGACTGTGTGAGTAACAGTCTATCAACACCTGGAAATAATGACTCACTCAGTCTACAATACACTCAGCCTACAATAAACTGTTTATTAGGTATACACTCAGTCTATAATACACCCAGTCTACAGTACACTCAGTCTACATACATTCAGTCTACAATACACTGTTTATTATACACTCAGTCTACAATACACTCAATCTTCAATCCACTCAGTCTACAATACACTAATTATTATACACTCAGTCTACAATAAACTGCTTATTATACACTCAGTCTACAATAAACTGCTTATTATACACTCAGTCTACAATACACTCAGTCTACAATGCACTCAGTCTATCACACACAGTTTATCATACACTCAGTCTACAATACACTCAATTTACAATACTCAGTCTACAATACACTCAGTCTACAATGCACTCAGTCTACAATACACTCAGTCTATCACCACACTTTGTCTATTATACACCAAGTCTTTCACACACTCAGTCTATCACACACAGTCTACAATACACTCAGTCTATCGCACAGGACAGTCTACAATATACTCAGTCTATCACACAAACAGTCTACAGTACACTCAGTCTATCATAGACTCATTCTATCGCACACACAGTCTACAATACACTCAGTCTATCACACACTCAGTCTATCACACACACATTCTACAAAACACACAGTCTATCATACACTCAGTCTATCATGCACTCAGTCTACAATACACTCAGTCTATCATATACTCAGTCTATCACACACTCAGTCTACAATACACTCAGTCTACAACACACTCAGTCTACAATACACTCAGTCTATCACGCACTCAGTCTATCATACACTCAGTCTATCACACACTCAGTCTATCACACACACAGTCTACAATACACTCAGTCTATCATATACTCAGTCTATCACACACGCAGTCTACAATACACTCAGTCTATCACACACTCAGTCTATCACACACACAGTCTACAATACACTCAGTCTATCATACACTCAGTCTATCACACACACAGTCTACAATACACTCAGTCTATCACACACAGTCTACAATACACTCAGTCTATCACACACAGTCTACAATACACTCAGTCTATCACACTCAGTCTACAATACACACTCAGTCTGTGCCTGCTCAGTCTATCACACCCAGTCTACAATACACTCAGTCTATCACACACTCAGTCTACAATACACTCAGTCTATCATACACTCAGTCTATCATATACTCAGTCTATCACACACACAGTCTACAATACACTCAGTCTATCATATACTCAGTCTATCACACACACAGTCTACAATACACTCAGTCTATCACACACTCAGTCTATCACACACTCAGTCTACAATACACTCAGTCTATCATACACTCAGTCTATCATACTCAGTCTACAATACACTCAGTCTACAATACACTCAGTCTATCATACACACAGTCTATCACACACACACACACACAGACCTGGGGGTGTGGCCCGGCGTGGACCAGTACGGGCCAACACGGGTTCTTTGAGAATGGACTTGGGAGGTGAGGCTGGACAATCAGAGGTGACACTTGATGGCTGGTCCACCTTGTGTCTCCTGTTACCTTCACCTGTAATACCAACACAAAATGAAGTGTTAGTCTCACAACACAGCACAGCACAGCACAGCACAGCACAGCACAACACAGCATAACACAACACAACACAGTTCACTTCCTTCCTCTGCCCTCTCCCTCCTCCCCTCTCTCTTTCCTCTCCCCTCTGCTCTCTCCCCCTCCCCTATCTCCTCTCTCCCTTAACCACGATATGTTGTACAGTATGGGGTACACCTGTGTTTGGATAACTAACAAGTGTGTTTTATCCACTGTACACACCTGTTGCCCCGACCACATGTGAATGATGCCCACACCTGTCTCACACACACACACACACACACACTACTACTACTACTTTGCTGTCACTGGGAATCGAGTATGACGATCATCCAGCTGTGATACAATGATATGAGTTATTAGGGATGTCAACTAGGTTGGTGAGCTCTGAGGTGATTAAAGAGACTGATATTGGACCGGGAGAGTCGTTCACAGATGTTGCACAAGTGGGGGGCTACATCTAATATGGGAGGGGCGATGGTAGCATCTTTCCGTCTTTGGCACTTGTCTGCCTCGGTATGCAGTTGGGCTAACTCGAAAGTATTGACACCTTCTTGAGTGGTGATCCTCCAAGCGGTACGGTGTGGAGTGATCGTCTCCCAGGTGAGGGGGTCGATTTGGCACTTTTTCAGGTTTGTCTTAAGACTATCCTTATACCTCTTCAGTTGCCCGGCAGCGTTACGTTTACTATTCGTTAGGTGACTGTAAAGTAGCTGCTTTGGCTGTCTACTGTCGTCCATGCGGGTAACATGGCCAGTCCAGCGTAGTTGTTCATGGATAATGGTAGCCTCGATGCTCCTACAGTTGGTGTCAGCGAGAATACTGGCATTTGTTTTCTTGTCTTCCCAGCGAACTCGGAGGATGGAACGTAGACTACGTTGGTGAAAGTTTTCAAGTGCCTTGAGGTGCCTCCTGTATGTAACCCATGTCTCGCTGCCATATAGCAGGGTGGGGAGGACCACTGCTCGATAAACATGTACTGTAACTTTATAGATAATTTCAACTCCCTACAGCTGAAGATACGGGTATGGAGTCTGCCAAAGGATTGAGATGCACATTTGAACCGATGTTGAATCCCTTCATCGATATCCACAGTGTTGGACAGGTGGGAGCTGAGATACTGAAAGTGGGTAACATTAGAGAGTGCAGTACAGTTAAGCTAGATGGATGGTGGAGGTGTGTCTGATCCAGGGGCAGGCTGAAAGTGAATCCGAGTCTTACGTACAATGTACATTCACCTCAAGGCCAAAGTGTGCATACGCATCTGCGTAGGTGTTCAGGATCTCCTGTAGGTCGCGTTGAATGTGAGCGACAAGAGTGAGGTAGTCTGCATACTGAAGTTCAGTAATGGAAGCTGCCAACACCTTTGTTCCTGCCTGGAGTCGTCTTATGTTGAAAAGATCCTTCATCCAGTACTCGACATCCACCTCGCCGGCTAAATTGGCGCTGGCACGAGTAAGGCAGGCAGCCAAGAAAATGTAAAAGAGAGTTGGTCCCATGACACATCCTTGTTTTACCCCCACTTGGATGGGGAAGAACTCAGACTGGGTGCCATGTACAGGGCACTATGTTGTTCTCTGCACTTTTCCTGTATCTGGCGGGCAGCAAAGATCATGTCAGTGGTGCCATGTGATGGTCTAAAGCCACATTGAGATTCTGGGAGAAAGTTTTCCGCCTCAGGAAGAACTCTGTTTAGGAGGACTTGGGCGATAATCCTGCCAGCTACGGACAGCAGCGAGATCCCATGGTAGTTGCCACAGTCTGACCGGTCTCCCTTGTTCTTATAAATATTAACGATGGAGGCGTCTTAAAGAGCTTGGGGGATTTCCCCCTTTTCCCATATATTCTCCAGGAGAGAGTGGAGACGGCTGGTAAGCAGAGGTCCTCCTGCTTTATACATCTCGGCTGGGATTCCATCAGGCCCTGAGGCTTAGTTATTTTTCATCTGTTTGATGGCAGTTGCTACCTCATCCAGGGATGGAGGATAACTGAGGTGGGTCAGCTCTGAGTGTACATCAACAGTTTGTACAGTACAGTACAGTGTTGGAGGGTGTACATCAACAGTTTGTACAGTACAGTACAGTGTTGGAGGGTGTACATCAACAGTTTGTACAGTACAGTACAGTGTTGGAGGGTGTACATCAACAGTTTGTACAGTACAGTACAGTGTTGGAGGGTGTACATCAACAGTTTGTACAGTACAGTACAGTGTTGGAGGGTGTACATCAACAGTTTGTACAGTACAGTACAGTGTTGGAGGGTGTACATCAACAGTTTGTACAGTACAGTACAGTGTTGGAGGGTGTACATCAACAGTTTGTACAGTACAGTACAGTGTTGGAGGGTGTACATCAACAGTTTGTACAGTACAGTACAGTGTTGGAGGGTGTACATCAACAGTTTGTACAGTACAGTACAGTGTTGGAGGGTGTACATCAACAGTTTGTACAGTACAGTACAGTGTTGGAGGGTGTACATCAACAGTTTGTACAGTACAATACAGTGTTGGAGGGTGTACCCAGGGGCTTATTACCCAAACACATGTGGCAGCTGAGACACATGTGGAGGCTGAGACACATGTGGAGGCTGAGACACATGTGGAGGCTGAGACACATGTGGAGGCCTAACACACTAATAATAATGATCACATTATTTGTTTAAAGTCTAATTTCTAAAGATAACTTTATATTTATTGATGGTAATACAGAGGTTTGTTTTATAACCTTTTATTGTCTTAATAACCAAGAATATATTTGTTTTGACCACTATGGATCAATTAAGGACATATTTATAACCTGAACTTTGTCTGAGCAATTTTCTAAATATTCAAGTGGGATTCACAGACTCACTGTGTTGTATCAAGTTTCCTTCATTTCTTCTCAGTGAATGCAGAGATCACAGAAGTGACGTCGACTTTACATAGAAGGTCAGAAACGCTCTGTCCACCGTGTGAGTCCTTAAAACTCTGTACATCTCCACTTGGACAGTGCAGCTCTCCTCCTCCTGCTGAGCTGCAGCTTGAGATATTGACTTGAAGTAGCTGACTAATTGTACAGTCTCATCATACAAAGCAACCAGAGCATCTGCTGCCTTCTTCACATTGGATCCCACAGTTTCCTCCAACAACTCTGCTAGGCCTCGTCTCGTCTTGCCAGGGCTGACGATGGATGGTCCACAATTTGTGTTACGACAGTGACTCAAAAATTCTCGCTCGCTGAGAATTATGTCTCTTCTGCTGAGCTCTCGTACCAAGTGACGTGGCACCTGAATCTATAAAAGGGAATTCTCAATTCAAATAATTGTTGGATTCTTCTTCGACACGAGCCTACAGAAATAATGGGCCTGAGCCTCACCTGCCTGTTGGATAATCCTCCCTGGGTGTACATCAACAGTTACAGTATGTTACTTACCTTCTCTGTTGGCTGCAACAGACTGTCTCAGCGGCTTCTGTCATAACAAACAATAAACTTAACATTATTTATTGACATTTCATAATGCACAAAATTCTTGATGTGCTGAGAGATAAAAATTATATTACAATACCTCCTTCACCTGAAGATTAACCCCAGCTTATTTCACCTGAAGAATAACCCCAGCTTATTTCACCTGAAGAATAACCCCAGCTTATTTCACCTGAAGAATAACCCCAGCTTATTTCACCTGAAGATTAACCCCAGCTTATTTCACCTTAACCCCAGCTTAGAGGTACAGAAGCACTCACCAGGTGGGAGGGGCTGCCTCTGTTAGCAGCAGCGATGGGCACTAGAGGTGTCAGTTGCCCTCCTAAGGGTGGGACTCGACCCCCTCCCAGGGCTGGCCTCCCTAGGGGTGAAGGACCTCCCCCTAGTAATGAAGGGGGCCCTAGTGGCGAGGGGGCCCCTAATGGCGGGGGTCCAAGAGATGGTCGCCCTACACCACCAAGCATGGTGTGGCTGTCTTGGGGGGCAGGAGGAAGGCTGTGGCGGACGTAACTATGGTCGTCACCTTCACCTCTCTCACCACTTATCTCTATATGTTTGTGTCTGTCCTTATCATTTGCTTCACATGTTGCATTATTTGCTTCACATGTCACATTATTTGCTTCACATGTCACATTATTTGCTTCACCTGTCACATTATTTGTTTCACATGTCACGTTATTTGCTTCACCTGTCACATTATTTGCTTCACATGTCACATTACTTGTTCCAACTGTCGTGTTATTTGCATCATTTGTCACCACACCTTGTTCACCATCATCACCACACTTTGTCCCTGTCACCACACCCTGTTCAACATCATCACCACACTTTGTCCCTGTCACCACACCCTGTTCACCACCATCACTAACAACAGACAGAGGTTGTAATACTCTTGATATATTATCATTAATTGCTCTGACACATTTATCTGTCCTCTGGGAAGGATCACTCACCAGGGTGTAGAGCAGGTCAGAGAGATGGACTTTATCTTGTGTGTTGTAATCTTCTGAAACAACAACAACAACAACTACTATCAACAAATAAACAACACCAACAACTACTATCAACAAATATTTATAATATATATAACAACTTGTCCAGGTCAGGGAAAAACAATAACTTTATCACTCAACGAGGAAAACTTTGTATATAAATTCCCCTAAGTTGGGTTATGTTACTTGGTTAGGTTAGGTTACATTTGGATATGTTAAGTTAGGTTGGCTTATATTAGGATTGGTTAGTGGTAGTTCTGGACACTAAGACACCCACAACATACCTTGGTTAGTGGTAGTTCTGGACACTAAGACACCCACAACATACCTTGGTTAGTGGCAGTTCTGGACACTAGAACACCCACAACATACCTTGGTTAGTGGTAGTTCTGGACACTAGGACACCCACAACATACCTTGGTTAGTGGTAGTTCTGGACACTAGGACACCCACAACATAGCTTGGTTAGTGGTAGTTCTGGACACTAGGACACCCACAACATACCTTGGTTAGTGGTAGTTCTGGACACTAGGACACCCACAACATACCTTGGTTAGTGGTAGTTCTGGACACTAGGACACCCACAACATACCTTGGTTAGTGGTAGTTCTGGACACTAGGACACCCAACAACATACCTTGGTTAGTGGTAGTTCTGGACACAAGGACACCCACAACATACCTTGGTTAGTGGTAGTTCTGGACACTAGGACACCCACAACATGCCTTGGTAGTGGTAGTTCTGGACACTATGACACCCAACATACCTTGGTAGGTCGTAGTTCTGACACTAGGACACCCACAACATACCTTGGTTGTGGTAGTTCTGGACACTAGGACACCCACAACATACCTTGGTTAGTGGTAGTTCTGGACACTATGACACCCACAACATACCTTGGTTAGTGGTAGTTCTGGACACTAGGACACCCACAACATACCTTGGTTAGTGGTAGTTCTGGACACAAGGACACCCACAACATACCTTGGTTGGTGGTAGTTCTGGACACTAGGACACCCACAACATACCTTGGTTAGTGGTAGTTCTGGACACTAGGACACCCACAACATACCTTTGTTAGTGGTAGTTCTGGACACTAGACACCCACAACATACCTTGGTTAGTGGTAGTTCTGGACACAGACACCCACAACATACCTTGGTTAGTGTAGTTCTGGACACTAGACACCCACAACATACCTTGTTAGTGGTAGTTCTGACACTAGGACACCCACAACATACCTTGGTTAGTGGTAGTTCTGGACACTAGGACACCCACAACATACCTTGGTTAGTGGTAGTTCTGGACACAAGGACACCCACAACATACCTTGGTTAGTGGTAGTTCTGGACACTAGGACACCCACAACATACCTTGGTTAGTGGTAGTTCTGACACTAGGACACCCACAACATACCTTGGTTAGTGGTAGTTCTGGACACAAGGACACCCACAACATACCTTGGTTAGTGGTAGTTCTGGACACTAAGACACGGACAACATCATCAATGGTGTCCAGCTGCTGATGCCTGTGTCCCTGTTGTAGTAATATATACCCAACTGGCTGTCCTCCCTGTCCATCCACCCAGAGATAGAGACTTGGATCAATACATACATACATACATACATACATACATACATACATACGAGTACATACATATTATCATACAGTAATACCACACGCTGCTTTTTACGCTGCTTTCCACATTTACTGCACCGCCAGAACCGAATGCCCACTTTCCAGGGTTCATCTACTCATATATCGGGCAGGTGCGCACGCGTCGCCCAGTCATCAAAACATTACCGAGTTCTTCAACCGCCACCCACCACAGCCGGCCCAAGTCAGTGATAATGATAGTGAGGATATGGACTTATATGGACTTTGAGGGTTTGAGCCCTGCAAGCCTCTGTGGGGATAGTAATACAATTGATACAAGTGATACAGGAGGGCCAATAATCTGCCCTCTGCCTCGAACCAACCCCCATCCCCCCGTGTGCCCAGCCGTCTTTTCTACTAATGTAGGTTAAAACCTAATATTATTGATATTTCTCTTAATTATTAATTGTGTGTGCATACCATCATAAAATTAAGATGTTATTTTTACTACAACGTAGGTATTGTGTCTGAAAAAGTGGAGTTTGGGGGTCGGGCCAGTCTCTATTTCAATTAATCCCACATGTTGTTATTCACTTTACTGGCCAGTGGGTTCAATTGACCGCGTAAAGCGAGGTATTACTGTATACTGAACATATTGGTACAGTATATATACACACATAATAAATGGTATTTTTATGAATAGTTCTGAATATAAAATAATAATACTGTAATAATAATAATAATAATAATAATAATAATAATAATAATAATAATAATAATACTAATAATAATAATATAAAAAAATAACAGTATTAATAATAATAATAATAATAATAATAATAATAATAATAATAATAATAATAATAATAATAATAATAATAATAATAATAATAATAATAATAATAAAAGTACTACTACTATTACTACTACTACTGTTACTCACAGGCTTGGATCAATTAGTAATTGTAATTGAAACTAGTTATAATTAATTACACAAATCTGAGTAATTGTAATTGTATTTGTAATTGAACTTAGAGAATAATAAAGTAATTGTAATTATAATTGCAATTTGCTATTCAAGTTTAATCCAATTACGCCATGAAACTGGGACAATATGAAGGATTACACACACGGGACTACTGTAGAGTTATATGTCTAGCCCACTATGACGCCGACTGTCGCACTATGACGCCTCATGTCAGCCCACTATGACGCCTCGCACTCATGTCGCCCACTATGACGCCTCGCACTCATGTCAAGCCCACTATGACGCCTCGCACAGCCCACTATGACGCCTCGACTCAGTGGCCCATGACGCCTCACTCGCCCATGACGCCGACTCATGTCAGCCCACAGTTCATGTCGCCCACTATGACGCCTCGCACTCATGTCAAGCCCACTATGACGCCTCGCACTCATGTCAAGCCCACTATGACGCCTCGCACTCATGTCAAGCCCACTATGACGCCTCGCACCTGTCAAGCTATGCCCTGACCATGTCGCCACTATGACGCTCGCACTCATGTCAAGCCCACTATGACGCCTCGACCATGTCGCCCACTATGACGCCTCGCACCTTATCAAGCCCACTATGACGCCTCGACTCATGTCAAGCCCACTATGACGCCTCGCACTCTTATCAAGCCCACTATGACGCCTCGCACTCATGTCAAGCCCACTATGACGCCTCGCACTCATGTCAAGCCCACTATGACGCCTCGCACTCATGTCAAGGTGTACTGGGACTACTGGCAAAGGCTGGGCTTATTGGAAACACAATAAGTTTTTACCTGTATCTTACTTGGTTTTATTATTCACAAGTGATGTACCAACTTAGTGTTTTGCTGTAGCTAACACCAGATAACTTAATTTAGCTTATGGAAGTCTAATATCTGCACACCGAAAACATTAATACTTATGTAAAATTTATACTAAATCTTGTGTTGTTATGACTACTGTTTAGATAAGCCAATCTATAATAACTCTTTATAATGAGTTAAAGGGAAATTATTATAATTATATAGTAATTGTAATTTGAGAGAATTGTAAGCCAAGTAATTGTATTTGTAATTTAAACTTCAGTTGAGTAATTGTAATTGAAAATGTAATCGACCTTAAATAGTGTAATTGATCCAAGCCTAAATACTACTACTACTACTACTACTACTACTACTACTACTACTACTACTACTACTACTACTAATAATAATAATAATATGATAATGAAGACTCACACAGGTACCCAGGCAGGTGGTAGAGGGTGTATAAGAGCGGCTCTGGCTAATGGCACCAAATGTGGTTCTGTCGACGGCTGAATACCGACCACCTCACAATATTCCAGCACGTCTGTAATGATTATTAATACACCTTTATAATACTAAAGTTATTATAATGATATACTGATTTACTACAACACTATCACCACCAACCAGCCCTACCTACCACCACCACCAACCACCTACCTACCACCACCACCAACCAGCCCTACCTACCACCACCACCAACCAGCCTTACCTACCACCACCACCAACCAACTTACCTACCACCACCAACAACCAGCCCTACCTACCACCACCACCAACCAGCCTTACCTACCACCACCACCAACCAGCCCTACTCACCACCACCACCAACCAGCCCTACCACCACACACCAACCAGCCCTACCCACCACCACCACCAACCAGCCCTACCACCACCACCACCAACCAGCCCTACCTACCACCACCACCAACCACCAACCACCACCACCACCAACCAGCCCTACCACCACCAACCAGCCCTACCACCACCACCAACCAGCCCTACCACCACCACCAACCAGCCCCACCTACCACCACCACCAACCAGTTACCTACCACCACACCACCAACCAGCCCTACCACCACCACCACCAACCAGCCCTACCACCACCACCACCACCAACCAGCCCCACCTACCACCACCACCACCAACCAGCCCTACCTACTACCACCAACCAGCCCTACCTACCACCACCAACCAGCCCTACCACCACCACCAACCAGCCCTACCACCACCACCACCAACCAGCCCTACCACCACCACCACCAACCAGCCCTACCCACCACCACCACCAACCAGCCCCTACCACCACCACCACCAACCAGCCCTACCCACCACCACCACCAACCAGCCCTACCACCACCACCACTAACCAGCCCTCACCACCACCATAACCACCCAACCACCACCACCACCAACCAGCCCTACTACCACCAACCAGCCCTACCTACCACCACCAACCAGCCCTACCTCACCACCACCAACCAGCCCTACTCTACCACCACCACCAACCAGCCTACCTACCACTACCACCACCAACCAGCCCTACCTACCACCACCACCAACCAGCCCTACCACCACCACCACCAATAACCAGCCCTACCCACACCACCACCACCAACCAGCCCTACCTACCACCACCAACCAGCCCTACCACCACCACCAACCAGCCCTACCACCACCACCAACCAGCCCTACCTACCACCACCACCAACCAGCCCTACCACCACCACCACCAACCAGCCCTACCCACCACCACCACCAACCAGCCCTACCACCACCACCACCAACCAGCCCTACCACCACCACACACCAACCAGCCCTACCACCACCACTCACCAACCAGCCCTACCCACCACCACCACCAACCAGCCCTACCACCACCACCACCAACCAGCCCTACCCACCACCACCACCAACCAGCCCTACCCACCACCACCACCAACCAGCCCTACCAACCACCACCAACCAGCCCTACCACCACCACCACCAACCAGCCTTACCTACCACCACCACCAACCAGCCCTACGCACCACCACCACCAACCAGCCCTACACCACCACCACCAATCCAGCCCTACCTACCACCACCACCAACCAGCCCCACCTACCACCACCAACCAGCCCTACGACCACCACCACCAACCAGCCCTACCTACCACACCACCACCAACCAGCCCTACCACCACCACCTCAAACCAGCCCTACCACCACCACCACCAACCAGCCCTACCTACCACCACCACCAACCACCCCAACCACCACCACCACCAACCAGCCCTACCACCACCAACCAGCCCTACTCTACCACCACCAACCAGCCCTACCTACCACCACCAACCAGCCCTACCACCACCACCAACCAGCCCTACCTACCACCACCACCAACCAGCCTACCTACCACCACCACCAACCAGCCCTACCACCACCACCACCAACCAGTCTTGTACCTACCACCACCAACCAGCCCTCCTACCTACCACCACCAACCAGCCCTACCACCACCACCAACCAGCCCTACCTACCACCACCAACCAGCCCTACCACCACCACCAACCAGCCCTACCTACCACCACCACCAACCAGCCCTACCACCACCACTCACCAACCAGCCTTACCCACCACCACCACTAACCAGCCCTACCACTCACCACCACCACCAACCAGCCTTACTCACCACCACCACCAACCAGCCCTACCACCACCACCACCAACCAGCCCTACCCACCACCACCACCAACCAGCCCTACCTACCACCACCAACCAGCCCTACTCTACCACCACCACCAACCAGCCCTACCACCACCACCACCAACCAGCCCTACCTACCACCACCACCAACCAGCCCTACCACCACCACCACCAACCAGCCCTACCCACCACCAACCAGCCCTACCACCACCACCACTAACCAGCCCTACCTACCACCACCACCAACCAGCCCTACCACCACCACCACCAACCAGCCCTACCACCACCACCACCAACCAGCCCCACCCACCACCACCACCAGCATCACTGAGGAGAAATCATGTGGGTTTGACTTTACAATGAACCTCTTCTCCTCCTCCTCACTCCTCCCTCCCTCCTCCTCTTCCTCCTCTCTCTCCTCCTCCTCCTCCTCTCCTCCTCCTCCTCTCCTCCTCCTACTCCTGGGACATTTGGCCGAATGGATATAGCTTTTATTTTTTCTTTCTTTTTTGCAATATATTCTTTGTACATTAACTAAAGGATAAAAGATATTAATTATAATGTAATTACTTTATAAATATTGTTTCAGTCTTGTGTTTAATATTTATGAACATCTCGTTTTATACAGTAATATTTATGTAATTATATCACAATAATATCTTTTATCCTTTAGTAAATGTACAAATGAGAGAGAGAGAGAGGCCAGGCATATTATATCATTAAATCATCCCATACACGTGCTCCCCCCATGACCTTTATAGTATCGACGGTACAGATTACAGGTAGTATTAGTGGCGGGAGGAGGGAGAGTACTAGACCTGTATAAGGGAAGAACGACCAGCTACCTGCCTCCTGCCGCCCCTCCTTCCCCCTCCTCTCCTGCCGCCCTCCCTTCCCCCTCCCTCCTGCCGCCCCTCCCTTCCCCTCCCTCCTGCCGCCCCTCCCTTCCCTCCCCTCCTGCTGCCCCCCTCCCTTCCCTCCTCTCCTGCTGCCCTCCCTTCCCTCCTCCTGTCCCCCTCCCTTCTCCCTCTCCCTGCCGCCCTCTCTCCTCCTTCCTGTTCCCCCCCACCCCTCACACAACACGTGGCACCCTTCACGGCACCTCTCATATGGATCAACCCTATCCCTACTTGACTGTCTGCCAACTCACCTGTTGTCTACTCTGTCTACCTTCCACCTCGTCTATCTCCGTCTGTCGTTCAATCACTTGTCTGATCTCAACTGCCGTTTTCTCACCTTGTTGTCTACCTGTATAAGGGAGTTAGGTTCCCACAAGTCACCATGGCAACCATCCAGTGTGCTGGACTCAGCTGACATTTACCTTAATGTCAAACTAATACACAGTTGATGGCACTATAACACCCCCTAATACACTCACTACAACACCCTGTAATACACTCACTACAACACCCTGTAATACACTCACCACAACACCCTGTAATACACTCACTACAACACCCTGTAATACACTCACTACAACACCCTGTAATACACTCACTACAACACCCCTGTAATACACTCACTACAACACCCTGTAATACACTCACTACAACACTGTAATACACCACTACAACACCCTGTAATACACTCACTACAACACCCTGTAAACACTCACTACAACACCCTGTAATACACCTCACAACAACACCCTGTAATACACTACTACAACACCCTGTAATACACTCACTACAACACCTGTAATACACTCACAACAACACTCTGTAATACACTCACTACAACACCCTGTAATACACTCACTACAACACCCTGTAATACACTCACTACAACACCCTGTAATACACCTACTACAACACCCTGTACACTCACTACCAAGGTTGGTTAGGTTAGGGTTAGCATCACCATCAGCTACACAGGTTCGGGTAACGGCAAATTTTACGATGACTCACACAAGGTTTAAAGGGCAATGTATGCACACACACGCACGCACGCACGCACGCACGCACACACACACACACACACACACACACACACACACACACACACACACACACGTGCCACGTGATGGTCAGCCACATTGAGATTTTGGGGAGAAAGTTTCTGCCTCAGGAAGAACTCTGTTTAGGAGGACTCCGATAATCCTGCCAGCTACGGACAGCAGCGAGATCCCACGGTAGTTGCCACAGTCTGACCGGTCTCCTTGTTCTTATAAATATTAACGATGGAGGCGTCTTAAAGATGAGGGAATTCTCTTTACCCACATATTCTCCAGAGAGAGTGGAGGCGGCTGGAAGCAGAGGTCCTCCTGCTTTATACATCTCGGCTGGGATTCCATCAGGCCCTGAGGTTGTTATTGTTCATCTGTTTGATGGCAGTAGCTACCTCATCCTGGGATGGAGGATAACTGAGGTGGGCTCTCTGAGTGCTGAGGGACCTGCTGGGTAGTCAGGACATCCACTTTGGTGTTTCGGTTGAGCAGTGAACGGTAGTGCTTTTTCCAGCGCTGAAGGAGGCCTTCATCGTCTTTAATTATGGAGTTACCATCAGATGAGCGGAGAAGGGGTGTGCCATGAGTGATCGGCCCATATAATGTTTTAATGCAATTGAAAAATTTGTGCACCTTGTGCTGATCTGCAATTTTTTGTATTTCACATGTTTTATTTTTAAACCAATCGTTCTTTAGGTTGTAGTTCTGCCAAGCCGCCGCTTTTTTTGGAAGGTATCAGCTTTAATCCGACACTGAGAGTTGTTCTGCCAGTCAGTTAAAGCAGCACGTTTATCATTGATTGTTGGGTCATTTTCATCAAAACAGTCCTGGAGTATTGTGTCGATCTGGCCGAGGGTCTCTGCAGGTTTTTGTCATGACAGTGTCGAGA